CTCTTACAGCATGGCATCACACCAACCAAGGTGATTCAGAGCCTCATTGACTGTCTTTAGTATAGAAACGAAATCTATAAGAGCAATTAAAGAGGTAGACGAAGGAGATAAATGATCATATGAAATTAAATTAGCAATGAGATAAGTAGAATAAAGAATGGTGCATTGACGTGTACCTTTACGAAGATTGATGGAAAGATCAAGATCATAGGTGGTAGCATCAAATGGTGAATAAGCTGGTATAGGACATGTATTATCAGTCTGTTGTCTTCTGGAATAAACATGAATAATTGGCGGTGGTTCTTGAGGTGGAGTCACACCATCATCAGTTTGCTCAGAAGGCACACAAGAAGAAATACTATTACCTTGTTGCTCCGTAGTGGTATTGTGTTGGAATCTACAAATGAGTCATTCATTGTCATTCACCCGATCTGTAGAACTGGATTGTGATGAGAAAAACGGTATATTTTCTGAAAAAACTATATCGACTAATACAAGATATTTATTGAAATCTGGAAAGTAATATCAGTATTTCTTTTGCAAGCGAGAATATTCTAAAAGGATACAATCAAGTCTTTAGAATCCAACTTACTAATACTGGGTCGCACATCTCGAATATAACAAGTAGTACCAAATACTCGCGGCTGTATTAAAAATAATTACTTGTTTGAAAAAAGAATACTGTAAGGAATATCACTTTCAAGTACTGTAGATAGTAAACGATTAATCATAAAACATGCAGTTGATACAACATCTGCCCAGAATTGCTTAGGAACTTATGTCTGAAATAAAAGAGCTTGAGCAGTTTCAAGTAAATGTCTGTTCTTTTTTTCACAACCTCGTTTTGAGATGGTGTATCGACATATGAAAACTAATGAAGAATCCATATTGAGTCATATAATTCTGAAATGAATCTGACATATATTCTCTACATTAGCACTTCTTAACAAATGCACAGACACATTAAATTGAGTTTTGATTTCTACATGAAAAGCACAAAAATGAGTAAACACTTCAAAATGATTTTTCATAAAGTACATTTAAGTCATTCGAGAAAAATCATCCACAAAAGTAACAAAATATTTAAACTTTATTTTTGACATAATAAGACATAGACCCTATATATGAGAATAAACTAATTCAAAAGTAGACTCAGCTCGTTTATTAATTCTCAAACTCGACAAGTTACGATGATGTTTTGCAAATTGACACGACTCACAATCTAATGAAGATATAGGATGAAACTGATAACACAACTTTTTTAACACAGTAAAAGATGAATGTCCCAACTAACAATGTACTCCAAATAGAGATATCACACTAGAGCAGAAAACTGGTCTGAGTATAAAAAATGTAGAGACCTTATGATATATGTCATTTACCAATAATCTGCTTCGTCATAAGATTTTGAAAAAGACAATGATAAAGGAAGAATGAGATACAACAATTAAATTCTTTGGTAAGTCTACTTACAGAAATCAAATTGAAAGCAAGTTTAGGTAAACTTAAAACAGATGTCAAGGTAATGAAAAGAGTTGGTTTTAGAGTCTCAGAACTCTCAATATATAGTCTCAGAACTCTCAATATTATAGATTGACCCATCAGTAATAATTACAGAAGAGAGTGTTCTATGTGATAGAAAGCTAGAGATTGACTATCTAGATGATCTTGGTTTTGTGATCAATAGCTTAATAGATTTGTAAATAATTTTGCAGATGGATGGTGCCTCCTTGGCACCTCTACATCAATACATTCAACACTTTTATTTCAAAAAATCATGGCTTGAAAAGAAAAAAATTAGGAAATGGGTAACCAGAAAACCCGATTCCTAGTCCAACCTCTTGAGCGAGCTCCCATGTATGTCTTAGCATCTGAATTGTGCGGCTGAAGCCATCGTCACATAGAACCAGAAATACTCTCAAGGGCAAACAGAGGGAAAAGAACTACATTACATTGTAGCAGACTTTTGCTTGTTGACGTGCCAATCCCCAAAGTAGCCTGGTAAACCAGAATCCAAATCCTCAATCAAAAGTGACTAGAACTTGAAGGCACGTATAGACTGAAAAAAACGGTTCAATACGTAATACATGATTCTAGTAGTGGAATGCAGCAAAAGCAGAGTCCAGGAAACATAAAACTCTCTTGAGTTTGTACTCCAAAACACAAAACTATGAGCAAAATGTTAAAATCCGCATACAAATTGAAGGAGGAAAAAAGAAAAAACAGGACAAAGTATAAAAAATCTAAGACTAAAAAGAAAACTAGCTAACTGATAAACCTGAGAAATGTGAAGCCTTCCTCTTGCAGCACTAGCGGCATGAGTGAAAGGTCTGCCTGGTTTCACTTCAACTCCTGCAAAATAATCCATTTGAAACTAAAAATTATAATTTTTCATGGAATATATTTATTATGCATATATATGAGTTAAGCTGGAAGATGAGTAGCATCTTACCCCAGAACACCATTAGAAAACAGAGCAGAAACTAAAGGGAGAGTAGTAGTCACTCACCCCAGAACGCCATGTAGAATAGTTGAGGGAAAACTTCAAAACCCTAGATTACAAGATTGCTAAAACTTTGTATAAGAAGCTAACTCTTGTGGCAAATATTAACCAATGTTTCTATCCAAGTATACTTTGCTTCCACAGTTCCTTTATTTTCTCTTTTTCTTCTTTTTGTTGTGTTCAAATATATTTTGAAATTAAATTCTACTCAAGTGGGCTTCAATTATGTTGCCTTTCTAGATCTGAAGGAAAAATAAAGAGATCTTTTTGGGTTAAAAGCTAAAGTAATGGACTTGGTTATGGAAAAAGTTTGGGTTTTAATTGATTTCATATTTGTGGGTTGGGCATAGATTGGGCTTGCACTTAGGAAGAAATGGGCATTTTGGATGGGCTACTTCTTGGTCTCTGTTGAACAAATTTCATATATTTGGATTATAGCCTTTTCGTTAGGTCCGAAATTGATGTATAGATGGGCTTTGTTTTAGATTTTGTGAATTGGGTAGGTGAAAATGCAAACAAGGACATGGATTAAGGGATAATGGTAGGATGTTAGTTATACAAATGGAAATAAGTTGAATTTATATGACTCCAAAAAAATAGGTGTTTGATTTCATTTTTTATGGCGGTAGAATTAAAAGCTGCAGACAGAGAAATTCAAATGTGAAAAGACATTGTGGTCTATACGAGTTTTTCTAGTAGAATGGTATTTAACAGTAATGGGACGGTGTGCCACCCACACCATACCTAACTATACACCCAACTGCATGCATGTATTGATGGACAGTTGACTTGGCTTTAATTACCTTTCTTCTTCATCTACTATCAGTTTTTTCTTTCAATTAAAACTAAAATTTCCCCTAATCATAATTTGAGTTACTTGATTAACTAACACTTACCCTTTGCAGAACGTATTGAATTGTCCGCCAAACCAAGTTTAATACGAGTTGGTTCTTGTATTAAATGCCCCTACCAACATCTACCAGAACACATTTATTGTCTAATAATAATAATGACTAAAAAAAAAGTAAGTATGAATTTTAGTCTTCGTCTTCCTCCGGATTTGATTGATGATTATCTCTTTTGCATGTTAAAGAGCATAAATCGTATGGGTCATGAAAATTTCAACTTCTGTTATTGATTGACATGGGAACAGAAGTAAGGTTTTTCATGACCAGAGAGGCTAATATCGCATGAGATTTTCTTTTTCCTCCCGGTCAAAATAAGGAGTCATACAGTTCTCATTTCTTCACACCTTCGGTTTTGTACACCCAGAAGGTGGTTTGTTTTGGTTTCACTTGTTGAGGGTCATATATAGAGATTTGAGACGATGAATAATAACTCTGCAAATCATACTATGATGGAGATAGAAGCTAGTAAACCCTCTGGGACGACGATGGGGGGTCTGAGTCCACTGAGTGAAACACTTTGGAGAGAGAAGACGAAGATAGAGGTAATGGGAGATGTGTCTGCTAGGTTAACATGGAAAGGATCTGACAGTAATGGTGAGTCTCAGAAATGGAGAAACCCAGAAAGTTCTAGAAGGACTGACTGGGTATGCAGAGCCTGGTAGCTTAACTGCTCTCATGGGTCCTTCTGGTTCTGGTAAATCCACCTTGCTTGATGCTCTCTCCAGTCGCCTTGCTGCTAACGCTTTCCTTTCTGGAACCATTCTCCTCAATGGTCGGAAAACCAAGCTCTCATTTGGCACTGCTGTGAGTTCATTTCGTTGATTTCTTCTTTTTATTGCTTCTTTTTGGGGTTAATTTATAAATTAGAGAAAACAAAATCTCAGGCGTACGTGACGCAAGACGACAACCTGATAGGAACCCTAACAGTGAGAGAAACAATTTGGTATTCAGCGAGATTGCGTCTCCCGGACAAGATGAGTCGATCGGAGAAGAGGGCTTTGGTGGAGAGTACGATTATCGAGATGGGTCTTCAGGATTGCGCCGATACAGTGATTGGAAACTGGCATCTGCGAGGAATCAGTGGAGGAGAGAAGAGACGAGTCAGCATCGCTCTTGAAATTCTCATGAGGCCAAGATTGTTGTTTCTTGATGAGCCTACCAGTGGTCTTGACAGGTTCTTAATTACGAATTTACAGATTTTTATACACATACCCAGTTTGATTATTTCTCATAAAATAGAGATGAGGGTATCAGTGTTTTGATTTGATGTATTTGGGCAGTGCATCGGCGTTCTTTGTGACTCAGACACTGCGTGGATTATCAAGAGATGGAAGGACTGTAATAGCTTCCATTCATCAACCCAGTAGTGAGGTGTTCGAGTTGTTTGATCGATTATATTTGCTTTCTGGTGGTAAAACTGTTTATTTTGGTCAGGCATCAGAAGCATATGAGGTATATGATTATTTATTATCGCCTTCATCTTTTATTTTTCCTCATACTCATAATTTATGCATAAACAAAATATATGGTGTCTTTATTTTTATATTGAGTTAATCTTCTAATATGGAGTGTACATTGACCACCCCAACTTACATTCTCATAGAGATGTTGAAGTAGTAACTATTGAAGTTTAATTTCTTCTAAATAGTGTCTTAGTATGAGTTTTTAAGTGTTTCAAGATAATTAATTCATAACATATGATTTTGTTTGGAACAGATTAATATGGAATCATGCTTCTTTTCTAATGATGGAATACATTTAAATATGAATTCCTTTTTTTGAAAAAATAAATAAATTATTGTAGAATTGTTCACCAATTCTTTGGACTTATTATTGGGCTTCAAGTGATGTAAAGGCCATCAATCTCCCTTTCACTTGCATTCTTTCAATTATTCTTGGGCTTCTTTTATGTTCTTTAGATTTGATCTTCGTTTAATTTGATGGTTTGAAAAAACTATTGGAAAAAATTTTAACAGATTTGTTAACTCTCAATAATACTTTGTTGCAAATGAGAGGAAGAAAAATGAGAGACTAATAGAAAAACTTAATTTTTTATTTGTGTTTGTTGGAAAAAAACATTCAAGTAAGTGGGTATATATAGGTAATAATGTAACTTTTAAAATTTTAAATATGCATATCGTAATTAAGTGGGAGAAATCACATAGGAGAATTCAAAAGACACATTTATAATTTTAACCCTTTGTAAGATAAAAAGTCTTATTAATTTGCAAATTATTATTTTTAACTTCTTATTAAGACAAAAATTCTCTTTAATTTACAAATTATTATTTTCAACAAAAACTTGCTTGCACATAAAAGATATAGGTTGTGTCACTTTCTTATCACTTAAAGTTTTTAGCATAAGCAACTTCAAGTTTAAATCTAAATATTATATGTAAGCACTTACCTTAGTTTTGTTGCTTGCTGTGAGCAGTTCTTTGCACAAGCAGGCTTTCCCTGTCCTGCTTTGAGGAATCCCTCTGATCATTTCCTTAGGTGCATTAATTCTGACTTTGACAAAGTGAAGGCTACTCTAAAAGGTTCCATGAAACTTCGGGTATTATAACCAACTCCTCCTTGTTCAATTCTTTGGTTCTGTTCAACTCAAATGCTGGGTTGTTGATGATTTAACTTTTTAACTTCTGGGATTGACTCAGTTTGAAACAAGTGAGGATCCACTTGAGAAGATAACGACAGCTGAAGCTATTCGAACTCTCATCGAGTTCTACCACAGCTCTCAGTTTTATTACACAGCCAGAGAAAAAGTTGATGAGATATCCAAAGTAGTAAGTTGAATTAATCTGATATATATATATATATACACTTTTCATGACCATGAATTTCTAGTTTCTGTTGTGATCATAACTAGAACTGTATCCAATGTTACAGAAAGGAACTGTGCTAGACTCAGGAGGCAGTCAAGCTAGTTTCTTGATGCAGGCCTACACTTTAACCAAGCGTTCTTTCATCAACATGTCAAGAGACTTTGGGTATTACTGGTTGAGGCTTCTAATTTACATTGTAGTCACTGTCTGTATTGGGACCATCTATCTCAATGTCGGCACTGGTTACAACGCAATTCTGGTACTACTATTCCCTCATTACATGTTTTAAAAGTTTTTGCAGTATGTTATTGATCATTAACTTTAAGCTATATCTAATATGTCAACTATAATATCTTTCTTTTTCCTTAAAAATTCTTTGTGAATGTTTGTTTCGTTTTTTCACTAACTTACTATGTTTTGGAGTTTATAATGCTACTGCTATATCAAGAATTGTTAAGATGTGTTTTCATTTCACAAGATTAAAATACTAGTAAATTCAAGACCTTTCACGTAGCAGAGTGGGCGAGCAAAGTGAGATTTGTGGTTATTTTATGGGTTTTTTCTTCCTGAAGTCACTCTATATCTGCATACATATAGTCATCTCTTAAAACCTTGATATTCAGTATTTTGTGAGATTTTAGTATATTTTAGATATTGTTTAAGAGGGAGACTAGATTTGTAATTTTAGAATTTAGTTTGTAGCAAATTCAACATCTACCCGTTCCACAGAAGTAGTTGCAATTGGTGAAATTGCATATATTCTGGGTTATTTTTCTTGCTTATGAGCTGTTCAATTAACTTACTCACACAATCAAATTTCTTCTGTTATTTTCATCAATTCAAGCCTAATCTTGAACAAACACCATATAACTCTGCAGGCAAGAGGTTCATGTGCATCTTTCGTGTTTGGTTTCGTTACATTTATGTCGATTGGTGGCTTTCCTTCGTTTGTAGAAGATATGAAGGTAATTAAATAGTCTTCACGAAAATTCCCATACTAAGATTCGTATATTCTAATAGTACCCGAGTAGAAAAATTATATGTATATTTTTGGCAGGTTTTCCAAAGAGAGAGACTAAATGGTCACTATGGTGTAACTGCATTTGTGATCAGCAATACACTCTCTGCAATGCCATTCCTGATAATGATCACCTTCATCTCTGGGACCATTTGTTATTTCATGGTCCGTCTTCATCCCGGCTTTCAACATTATCTTTTCTTTGTGCTCTGTCTGTATGCGAGCGTCACTGTTGTTGAGAGCTTGATGATGGCCATAGCCAGCATTGTCCCAAACTTCCTAATGGGTATCATCATTGGAGCTGGACTTCAGGTACACTTAGCTTTTTCTATTATTAGTGTCGAGTAAAGTTGGAAAGATGGAAAAACTTTTTCTATCAACCTTAAATAATGGATGGAACTCATTACGGCAAAAACTTAAATTGATATGAGTTAACATGATCTGTTATTTATATGTTAGCAGTTATTTATATGTTAGCACATTCTTTCATACTGTAATATAAGTCCAATAACTGGCAACAGGAGACAACATTCTCCAAATCTGGAATTAAGACCTCTAACTGTTAAACTATTTTAATAATGTCAGGGCATATTCATGCTGGTGTCTGGCTACTTCAGGCTCCCAAATGACATCCCAAAACCATTCTGGCGTTACCCAATGTCATACATCAGCTTTCATTTCTGGGCTCTGCAGGTAAAAGAATGTTGGAAGGAGATCATAAACTTGGAAATATTGGTTCAAATTTAATCATTCATTTTCTAAATTTAAAAATGATTTTTCAGGGTCAGTACCAAAATGATCTGAAAGAGGTTGCTGTTCGACAACCGTCACCAGATCTTCCAAAGATCCCGGGCGAGTACATCCTGCAAACGTGTTCCAAAT